TAAAATCAAAAACACCAATGATAGCCTATGCTATATGGAATAAGGGGAACACTCACCCATTGCTGGTGGGAATGCAAACTTGTGCAATCACTTTGGAATTCTGTGTGGTGGTTTCTCAAGAAACTGGGAGTCAACCTACCTCAGGATCCAGCAATTCCACTCTTGGGAATATACCCAAGAGATACCCAATCATACTACAAAAGCATTTGTTCAACTATGTTCATAGTAGCACTATTTGTAATAGCCAGAACCTGGAAACAACCTAGGTGCCCCTCAATGGAAGAATGAATAAGGAAAGTGTGGCACATATACGTATTAGAGTTCTACTCAGGGATGAAAAACAATGACGTCTTGAATTTTGCATGCAAATGGATGGAAATAGCAAACACTATCCTGAGTGAGGTAACCCAGACCCAAAAAGATGAATATGGTATGTACTCACTCATTAGTGGATCCTAGCCATAAACAAAGGACATTGAGCCTTTAGTTCGTGATCCTAGAGATGCTAAATAATCAGGCGAACCCCCCAAAAAACATATATAGATCCTCCTGGAAATTGGAAGAAGACAAAAAAGTTGGGAGCATGGGGGTGGCGATAGGGTGGGGGAAGGGGAGGGGAGAGAGAGAAGGGAGAAGGGGAGGATGGGGAGAGCTTGGGGGAGTGGGATGCTTGAGATGGAGAAGGGAGGAGATGGGAGCAAGGAAGAAGATATCTTAATTAAGGGAGCCATTTTAGGGTTGGCTCTAGAGGGGTTCCCAGGTGTGCAAGGAGATATCCCAGCTAGGTCCTTGGGCAGTAGAGGAGAGGGCACCTGAACTGGCCTTGTCCCATAGCCACACTGATGAATATCTTGAATATCACCATAGAACCTTCATCCGGTGATGGATGGAGATAGAGACTCACATGGAAGCACTGGACTGAGCTCCCAAGGTCCAATTGAATAGCAGAGAGAGGGAGAAGGTGAGCAAGGAAGTCGAAACCGCCAAGGGTTCGTCCACTCACTGAGATGGTGTGACTGATCTAAGGGGAGCTAACCAAGGCCAGCTGGACTGGGACTGAAGGAGCATGTGATCAAACCGGACTCTCTGAATGTTGCTGACAATGGGGGCTGACTGAGAAGCCAATGATAATGGCACTGGGATTTAATTCTCCTCCATGTACTGGCTTTTTGGGATCCTAGTCTGTTTGGATGCATGCCTTTCTAGGCCTGGATGAAGTGGGGAGGGCCTTAGACTTCCCACAGGGCAGAGTACCCTGGCCTATCTTAGGACTGGAGGGGGAGAGGAGAGGGTGAGTGGGGGAATGGGAGGGAAATGGGAGGAGGGGAAGAAGTAGAAATTTTGAATGGTATTATTTATAAAGCAAAAAAAGAAAATACATATGATTAATGATTTATTAAAAATTAATTAAAAAAAGAAAACTCATGGAATCAACTAACCTGGGATCATAGGGGTCCATAGAGACTGAATGAACTAGCAGGGAGCCTGCATGGGACAGAACTAAGCACTCTGCATAAATGTTGGAGTCATGTAGCTTGATCCTCTTCTGGGAACAGTAACTATATCAGACTCTTTTACTGATTTTGCTGCCCCACTCCTCACACTGGGTCTCTTTAACAAGTCTTTATACATGGGGGTGCTTAATCTTACTCTATCTTGATATACCATGTTTTGTTGATACTGAAGGGAGCTCTTTCCTAAACAGAAACAGAAGAAGAGTAGATTAATGTGTGGTGTGGGGGGCCCTTCTGTCTATGTGCTAATGAATAAAATATTGGCTTGTCATTTAGCTTCTTTAGGATCACAAATTATAGACTCAGTGACCTTTATTTATGGCTAGAAACCAATTATGAGTGAGTACATCCCATGATCCTCTTTTTGGGTCTGGGTTACCTCACTCAGGATAGTGTTTTCTATTTCCATCCATTTGCATGCAAAATTCGAGACGTCATTGTTTTTTTACTGCAGCGTAGTACTCTAATGTGTATATATTCCAC